TTTTTTTTTGGGGAAGGGGGGGGGGGTCAGAATACAGCACATTTTATGCCAGAGCTATATAAAAGGACTAAAAATAAATCATATATATATATATATATATATATATATATATATATAACTCAACACCTAAGATTGATGTCACGGAGAATTATTGACAATCAACAGATTGCACACAGAATCCTTTAGTCCCAGAAAATTTCCATGAACTGATCAAGGAAACACATTGATTTTAAATTCTTTCAGCTACAAAAATGTTAAGTTATCCTAGAGGTGGTTCATATAGAACATTTTATGCATGTCAAAACAAAATTTTTAAGAAATTTAATATTTTGTTTATGCAGCTGAACAATTTAAATTATGTCACCTTTGTAGAAGTTTTTCCATCTCCAGTTCTTCCAAATCTAGCCAACGTTTCAGGCAATGCTTGTAATTGTGTTGGTTTAAGTGAGTGGTATATTCATCAACAGCTGTTAAGGACTGCACTTTGACAGCAGGATTTGTTTGCAGTCGCTTTTGACGATTTAAAAACTCTGTTATCAACCCAGATGTCAGTTTACATTTGGGAAACGGCTCCAGTTCAACATTTCTAAACATTTCATCTGTCATAATTTGTTGCCTTGCACTTTGTAGCTCTTTCATCTCATTCTCCTGGGCCAGGTCCACCAAAAGTTTGATTTGCAGATGGGGTTTCTCTCCAAAGTCCAGTATCAGCCACTGCTCAAAAGAACCGACTGGTACATGAGAATGGAACAAAACTGGGATGGAATATTTGTTTTTCGCCACATCTGTGCAGAATTCCTCTCCATCTGCAAAGTCTTTGTTGCTGCTTCTCAGGCAAAAATTCACTCTGCCAGTATGCAAAAGCAAGGAGATCTTCTTTAAATTCACCTAGAAAGATATAAGATATATACAGTTACCTCTTTTTAGAGCACACCAGAAGAAGGCATTTAAAGATTAATTTCTATAAATAAAAAGTCACCAAAAAAAGAATTCATTTTATACTGTTTAATTTCATGTAATCAAGTATAGAAAATGTAAGCAAACAATTTAGGAGAAAAACAAAACAAAATATAAGACAAAATATAGAGATTTTATGATGCTTCTTCTTTACCTGTGATAAATTAATTATTGAAAAAAAACGGTGTTTTCCTAATTTTGAAGAAACTACCTGAACATTGAATTCTGAACCCTGAAACACATTCTGTATTACCTTAGCTGTGACATCAAACTGCCATTCATAATCCAATCTTCCATCAGTAAATTCTTCTTTCACTATTCCCGCTGGACATGCAACCCCATTCACCTCCACATCAACATCTTCAAGGTGATCCTTGAGCTGTAAAATATTCATCAAACCAGTGATCATTACTTTGGCCAAATTGTCAAATTAACGTCATTTTCTTCATTATTCACATTATCCCAAATAATTTGCTGAATTAATTAAATATAATGTTCTCTTTAAATGATATCCTTTGTTACAAAATTGTGGAATCTACCTTTCCTGGGAAGTTTTTGTGTTAACATAATAAATTAATTTGAAACTGTTTAAAATAACCAGGATATTCATGATACAATTTAACATAAAATGAAGAGGAGTTAAATGATATGATGGCTGTAGGCACTTTTCACACTGAGCACTGTGACTGANTATCTTGGATTTCGTGACACAAACTAACCGACATAATACTTTGGACGATTGAACAGTTTTAATACGGAAAGATAGGATTAGATGAAATTTTCATCGGGGTGGGACACCGCATGTATCGTAAGTTAAGCTAATTTTGTGATCATTTTTCAGTGACTTCAGATAAATTTTTATTTAAATAACAATTTGCACATTCTGTTTATTATATCTTCTTGCAGTAGATGTATTTCCTGCTTCAATAATCCATTCAAACCCTAAACAAACTGTTCTTAAATAGAGGTAGGGTCAAAATTCCATTTTGAGGGACGCCATTTTGAGGGTTATTTCGATATATTTTCTGCTTTTTCTATTTTTTTGCTTTTATAACAACATCCTCCTTGCTCATGCAGCTTCTTTGATTTGTTATTGAAACATACACAACGATGTCATGAGAATTTGGTTGGCTATCTAAATTTAAATAACATTCTTGTTATGGCCCCCCTGCAGTGCACCACTAGCAAAGAATGACTGATATATAATCAAACCTACTTTATATGTCAGCAAACCTGTGGATATTAACATTTTTCTCATACTACATACTTAATGGAAAATTACTTTACAAAGAAATTTTAGAAGTTGAGAAGTTATATGATTGGATGAAAATGGCCGTTGCACATAATACTTAAAATTTACCCTGGGCATTCTCAATTACATCCACAACAACTTTCCTAGAGTGGTGGCCAAGGTCCTTCCCCTTGAGAGCATTTCTGATACACTTCACCTGCAAATTTTATTTTCAACCATGTACTTTGAAATGCATATCTGGATCATCGTAGTTTGTCTATTATGTAAATTCACTTTCAAGAATCTGCATCCTTCATACATTATGTACATGCAGATAAAATGCCAATAAATGTGAAGAAAAATCACAGATGAAAAATATGAATAACTCGGAAACTGGGACTTACTAAGACCTTTCACTAGGTAAATGACCTGGATAAATTGAGGCCTCTTTTCTTGTTCAATGTTGGATTTTCCACTCATTCCCAAATGGCTTCTTTGATGCTGGGTTTGACCCACTTTTCCATCTGGTCTACAATGAATGAAGTCTTTCTCATATATATATTATGTGACCAGTATCTCTAGTGTTTTGGAAAATTGTAGAGTCTGGAGTTTTACTGGTTAATTAGAACAGGTTTTACCTCTCAGACATATGGCATGGGCCACTGGAGATCATTCCTAGCTGTATGACAATACATCAGGTGACGAGTCTAGCCGCATCATTTACCCAGTGAAAGGTCTCATGTTGAGACCATGTTGGTCAGTTGCTAAATGGAAGTTCCAGTTATTCATATTTCTCATTCTTATTCTACTTGATAACTAACAACATTCACTCAAAAGATACAGATATGACAAGAAAAAAATCACTGAAATGTGAATAACAGTTGCAGAGTGACATTTCCAGTAATCTTCAATGTGGGAATTTGAAGCATATATTGAACATATTACTTACCTGTTCATAGTATGGAGTAAGAATAGCTATTTCTTCACTGTCTATTTGCTCTGCCAAAGGCCATGATTTGAAGAGCTTCTCAGTTTCACTGGCAATTGCTTCTGCTTCTGCAGTGTTATAGTAAGACATACCGCACTGGCTGTGTTCCTGCTTTCCTTGAACCATATAAAATGATAAAGGAAAATAATCTTCAAAAGTTGGAATTTCTCGTCTTGAACATAATTTGGTTTTATAGAATACATCAGAGACAAAGTCCAAGATTTCCTGGCAATTTCTGTAGTTTCCTGACAGGACAACTTTGTAATTTGTGTCTTTTTCTTTTTCGTAAAGCTTGAACAACCTCTGAAACATGGTCTGCTGAAGCCAGGGTCGCACAGCATTGCAATACACATTTGGGGTTACTTGCATATGGTCACCAGTAAGACAAAGTACTGTGTCTTTGTTGGCCAACAGTAATGGAATCAGACTTTCTGGTTCTATCGCTTGTGCTGCCTCATCTATCAAAATGTGTGTAAACTTCCCAGACACACTTGTATCAAACAGCAAAATGGAAGACTTCAGTGTAGTGATAATGATGTTGCTTTTTTGTAGCCTGGATTCACTGGGATAGGTCAGTTTGGTATCATCATGTTCACAGTACTGTAAAATGTCTGTGCGGACATCGCATATGGATTTTTGGTCTCCATAAACCCTCAGAACACTCACTGTTTTCCCCCTTTCTTTCAGGAAGGGTTGCAGGTACTTCAGAATATAAATATCAGCAGCACTGAAATTAACAAATAAAAGTAAATTATTATAATGTTGTTTAATATTATACGAATAAGTATCTAAGTTTTAACAATTGCTTAATGATTCCCCCATATTCTAGAATATTTTACAATCACCCTCGACTCACCAAAAGAGATACAAACCAGCTCAAAAGTAAAATGCACATTAGCACTGATGATTAAGGGCGCATTCCCACAGATTTTAGATCGATCTATCCCCGTGGGGAGTCTCACTAGATTACTGTCAGATAATCCGACTTAAATGTCCGTCCCGCCTAATACAAGCTGTAAGGGGGAAATTAACTTTCATGCCTGACAGCTGACAGCTATTTAGCATGAACCCCCAGGGAGTTAGGTCGATCTAGTTGGATCAATCTAATCTCTGAGAATGGGGTCTAAGACTACTGTTAAATGTGCTGTGAGTACAGTGCCTTTACAAACACATTATAGCAGCAGAAAATTCTATTACCTATCTGACTTGCAGCATATAAGACAACGCTGCTGTGTGACACTGATCATATTCAACATGGCCTGTGAGAGGGTGTAAGTTTTTCCGCTGCCAAAAGGACCATATACTATCAAGGGAGGCTGCTTTATATACCCAGTCTTCTTGCTCAACAAATGATTGACAATCTGCAAGTTCTTCTCCTCAAAATTCTTACTCATGCTGAAAGTAAATTAATCATTGTATTTTAATTTATTTAGTACACAGATATCTGCAATGTGAGTTACTGTCCCAATGTATTAAGACATTTTGCTTTATTGTGTGAAAAAAGTATAAATATTGTTATTGGAAGTATCACATCATAGTAATGACTTAATTGTTATAAAATACTCCTCAATATATAACATAGGGAGAGATCCTCTACTGCTTGACCTCTATTTATCAAGGAATAGTCATAGTGGTAATAAATGGCAATCAGTCAAGTCTCACAGTTTAGCACAAATTCATTCTATAGGCTCAGGTGATTCTAAATGCAGTTAAGTTTATTTGAATTTAAGAATATTTCCCTGCATGAATTTTATTTATATATTTATTTTTTTTTATTATTATTATTTTTTTTTGTTGTTGTTGAAAGCAAATTGTAAAGTTTGCTAATTTTCTATTGGATTTTAACTACTCTCACTGAAGTCTTTAGCATTAGTCACTTTAGCCAGAGGTAATGGGCTAGTTAAAATAAAACAAAACTTTATATAACACTAGCCCACTTTAAGACCCTAACTGGCTAAAGTGCTAGTGTCCTTTAAAGAAACAGACTGACCATGTCACTCATACTAAATACATTGTATAAAACCATGCTTACCTCACAGGTTTGTCTTCAACACTGACTAATGCTGGATTGATCTTGGAAATATCAGGAAACAGCTGGTCCACATGCCCAAACATGTCAACAGCAAAGCCCATTAATCTGAGGTTTTCTTTGTCCAGCTGAAAACTGATTTTCAAATCTACTTCGGGCTTCCCATAGAGCTGCAACTCTGCAGAACAAGTTGGTGAAAGGACCATCCGAATGCTACTCCCCTGGTCTACCAGTACAGCGGTACCTTGCCTGTACTGACCCTTGATGAGAACAGCTTCATAGGCCTTACAAGCTGTGGGCTCAACTGCCATTACATACACCTTCTTGACATGATTGGCTATCAAGTGCCCTTGTTTTCCATCACAACTCAGTTCAGGAGGGACAGGTGCTCTAGCCTCAATACAATCACATGGTACGTTTTCACCGCCATCTTCAAATGGTAGCAGTTTGCATGTTGTCTGCAGCATGGACCTGAAATTATTTAAAACTTATTTACCTCTGATGTTTAATACAAGCATGTTAATCAGAACCTTCTCATTTAATGTGCTTTTGTTCACTCAATGGCTTCAGGGATTTTTTTTTCTTTTTTTTTTTTTTTTTTTTTGGGGGGGGGTCAGAATACAGCACATTTTAAGCCAGACCTATATAAAAAGACTAAAAATAAATCAAAAAAAAAAAAAATATATATATATATATATATATAACTCAAAACCTAAGATTGATGTCACCGAGAATTATTGACAATCAACAGATTACACACAGAATCCTTTAGTCCCAGAAAATTTCCTTGAACTGATCAAGGAAACACATTGATTTTTAATTCTTTAAGCCACAAAAATGTTAAGTTATCCTAGAGGTGGTTCATAAAGAACATTTTATGCATGTCAAAACAAAATTTTTAAGAAATTTAATATTTTGTTTATGCAGTTGAACAATTTAAATCATCTCACCTTTGTAGAAGTTTTTCCATCTCCAGTTCTTCCAAATCCAGCCAACGTTTCAGGCAATGCTTGTAATTGTGTTGGTTTAAGTGAGTGGTATGTTCATCAACAGCTGTTAAGGACTGTACTTTGACAGCAGGATTTGTTTGCAGTCGCTTTTGACGATTTAAAAACTCTGTTATCAACCCAGATGTCAGTTTACATTTGGGAAACGGCTCCAGCTCAACATTTCTAAACATTTCATCTGTCATAATTTGTTGCCTTGCACTTTGTAGCTCTTTCATCTCATTCTCCTGGGCCAGGTCCACCAAAAGTTTGATTTGCAGATGGGGTTTCTCTCCAAAGTCCAGTATCAGCCACTGCTCAAAAGAACCAACTGGTACATGAGAATGGAACAGAACTGGGATGGAATATTTGTTTTTCGCCACATCTGTGCAGAATTCCTCTCCATCTGCAAAGTCTTTGTTGCTGCTTCTCAGGCAAAAATTCACTCGGCCAGTATGCAAAAGCAAGGAGATCTTCTTTAAATTCACCTAGAAAGATATAAGATATATACAGTTACCTCTTTTTAGAGCACACCAGAAAACAAGAAAAAGGCATTTAAAGATTAATTTCTATAATTAAAAAGTCACCAAAAAAAGATTTAAGAATTTAAATTGTCATTATATACTGTTTAAAATCATGTAATCAAGTATAGAAAATGTAAGCAAACAATTCAGGAGAAAAACAAAACAAGATATAAGACAAAATATAGAGATTTTATGATGCTCTTTCTTTACCTGTGATAAATTAATTATTGAAAAAAAACGGTGTTTTCCTAATTTTGAAGAAACTACCTGAACATTGAATACTGAACCCTGAAACACTGAACATTCTGTATTACCTTAGCTGTGACATCAAACTGCCATTCATAATCCAATCTTCCATCAGTAAATTCTTCTTTCACTATTCCCGCTGGACATGCAACCCCATTCACCTTCACATCAACATCTTCAAGGTGATCCTTGAGCTGTAAAATATTCATCAAACCAGTGATCATTACTTTGGCCAAATTGTCAAATTAACGTCATTTTCTTCATTATTCACATTATCCCAAATAATTTGCTGAATTAATTAAATATAATGTTCTCTTCAAATGATATCCTTTGTTACAAAATTGTGGAATCTACCTTTCCTGGGAAGTTTTTGTGTTAACATAATATATTAATTTGAAACTGTTTAAAATAACCAGGATATTCATGATACAATTTAACATAAAATGAAGAGGAGTTAAATGATATGATGGCTGTAGGCACTTTTCACACTGAGCACTGTGACTGGGTTCCCATACCTAGATCTATCTAACAGGATTGGTCCATGTCCAAGGGGTTTCACGCTAAATTGCTTTCAGCTTAAGCAGCTTAGATGTCTGGCATGCCTACTAAAGCTGCTAAACCATAATAAATGACCCCCTAACAGCTTCAGTAGGTGTGACAGACAAATATTAAATGTCTGTGCTAGTTAGCCTACAGTGATACACAGAACTGTACCACTCTATGGGAACATTCCCATAATCCTATTGTACTAGCAGGATCAAACTATCTCTGAGGGGACTTTCACTAAATCGTATTCAGTTTAAGTCTGCACAAAAGTTAATTACTTCCTTAGCAGCTTCAGTAGGCATGACAGACATTTAAGCCGCTTAGACTGAATATAATTTAGCAAGAATCCCCTTGGTGTTAGATCGACCCTGCTAATACAATAAGTGTATGGGAACCTAGTCTATGTGAAAAAGACCTAAGATGGGAGGTCACCTTTCAGTTAAGAGTCGTATTATACTGTGTCTGCACTAAACTGCATGCTACCCTTTGAACTACACATTACACAGTACATACCACTGCCCCTCCAAAGTCTTTGTATTCTTCCATTAATCTGTTCACATAGTCAAGTTGTTTTTTATCTCTGTTGATTTTCATTCGTCTTTTCTTCTCATCATGCCTCATCTTCCACTCCTGGAGTTCCTCCTCACTGTGAGCCTGTGGGCAGTAGTTGCCCAAATCACACGCACCAGGGCTAAAATACGTACATGTGTAACACATATTATACACATCAAACATATCTCATACTTGTCTAAAACAGTAAAGATAAGCGCTATGTAAATCACACAGCATAAGGTTTCTAACATTTTTCACTTTAAAGTACTTTTAGTTGAAATTCTTTAAATAAAAATGACACTATTCAGGTCCGTAGCCAGCAATTTCAAAAGGGGGGTTCTTTTTCTGAAAAAGTGTACCTTTTTTCATAAAAACTTCATGAACCTAGATCTAATTTTACCCAGAGCGGACCTTTTCCCACCATAAAGGGCAGTTCTTTCGAACCCCCCCCCCCCGAACCCCC